GTAGGAACCCTCAGCTCTACACAAAGGACTGCATGGAGAAAGCACTAACCAAGAATGAAGAGGTAAAGGGCAAAATCGACTCATATAAGAGATTCAAGGCAAACCTGAAAGTGGAGCTGTCACAGATGTTTCCCAATGAAATGGCGAAATATCGTGCTGTACGTAAGGCGAGCGAACAGCCTGCTGCCGAGGAGCATTGGGGCTGAGCGCCAGACTGCTGAGTTCGAGTTGCACCAGGAAATGCATCAGACTGTGAAGGAAGAGCAACAGAACTTGTTTTAGGTCAGGATGTGAGGAGTGCAGACCATAGGTACATGCCCAAATATTGCATCATTCACATGTGTGTTGTGTCTTACAAAATGGTGATCAAGTGATGTATATAGGGTTTACCTGCTGCGGCTGCAATGTTGAATGTGGCTGTTATGCCCAGGTTGAAACATGCTGCTTCATGCTTGTGTTTATGTGTCGATTGGTTTCACTCCATCCATTATAGCTTGTTTTGGAACTGAAACCAGGAAATGAGTGGTGGGTTTCAGAGGCTGCCGGCTGGCAATGGCAATGTTAGATGTAAGAAGAAGACCATGATTTGAATGTAAATAATTTCACTTGTGAGTTGTGTACCTACTGCTTTTTGCCCATCCATCATTCAGTGCTTGGTAATACTGTCCACTATTTCAGTTGTTGAATGTCAAACTTCACTGTAGTGGCTGGTGGTAGAAAAAGATGGAACTGATGATCTGTGTGGCACATTTCAGTCCCACGCACAAGGGGGAAAAGCTCAAAAAATTGAGCGCTCAAAAAATTGAGCGGGCCCCATTATGAAGGAATAGGCGAAACGATGGTATTTTACAATGCCTTAAGCGTCACACTACGGCAAATATCGTAGCCAAATAAGGTATCAATGGCAAGAGAGAGCAACAAGGTTTCTTCTCGAACACTCGCCGTGATAATTTATATCGGTGTTTTTGGAAAGAAAATGCCCTAAAGACGCTCAACTTTTTGAGCGCCACTTGTCGTTCGGGACCGCGATACTCAATAAATTGAGCGCCACGACAGACGACAGTCAGCTGGCGCTCAAAAAATTGAGTGCCGGCCAGCATCTACACTCAATTTTTTGAGCGTTCTCCGTGACAGGTGAAGCCGGTACTGGCTGCCATTTTTGATGTTATGTTCGTTGAAATACGTTAAACTGAGTTGAAACAGAAATGCAGGAAGTTGAATGCTACGTGGTACCTAAACTTTTCACAAACCCATGGCATCATGTCACATTTTCCGCTAGTAGTTTTATCGGCCTTTCGGATTCGGCACACCTCAAATAATTATACAAGGCTTGAATAATCCGTATGAATACTGTAATTGATATTCTCTGACTGTACTGGGAGAAGGGAATACGTGAATACAGAGATATCCACCCACCCTTGAATATTGGAGAATTATAGCAGGAAAAACTGTATTGCCACGGTTACAACTTACAAGGCCATCGGCCGCAAACAAACAAAAATACTATAAAATGTGGGTTAGATTCACAAACATCATCAAGTGTGGAACACAGAGACGAGCAAAACAACATTACATTATCGCATACCAGCCCGACCACATTGGAACCGGGTCCGGGTGACCTGCGACCGGAACCTGCGTCTTGCCAGCATACATCACAAAAGCAGGAGGCAGTGTCGTACTGCTTTGATCCAAAATATGCCATATAACAAATGATATAAACGACCTAAGCTCGGACTAAGCTTATCATTATCAAATCCTTAACATGTAAAAGACGAATGGAAACATCGAGTCTCAGACCAGCAGTAGCAACGATCACAGTAGCAACATCACAAAGAACACGCGGCATTATCAGACAGCCGTTTTGTTATCGGGCTACAGGCGGCGACGGCGTGGTTGCAGACCAGCTGCGAGGTAGCGGCGTGCGGGCAAAAGGCGCGGGCACACCTCCATGTGGCCGTGCGGACAGTGCGCGGCCGGCGTCGCATAGTGGGCGGCATCGGGCTGTCCCGGGCCGTCGAAGCCGCACAGGTTGTCGGCGCATGTGGGCGCGCGCGGTCACCACGGCCAGCTGCTCACCGCCAGCACAGACTGCGCAGCGTCGCCGCTCCGCCGGCCAGAACACGCAGACAACCCTTCTTGCAGTCGCACAACACGTCGCCAAACTCATTCACCTGCTCCACCATGTTGTTGATGTCACCGAGTCGTTCGAGTTGTGGCTCGTGCTGTCGAGCATGACCTGCCCGATCGGACACGGGTCAGCGGCTTCTGCTCCAGCGAAGTCTTCATCTTAGTGACGTCTTGCTGATCTCCACAAAGGCTGAGAAGATGACCTTACCCACAGAGACGGCCGACGTCCTCGCCAGCGACCGCTTGGTTGTGCAGACCTGCCAGAAAAAGAAAAGCTGTTTGGTGATCTCAAACGATTTTTTTCTTTATGTAGTGGAACAAAACGGAAAATATGTCATACAACAGGAACTAAAAAAAAGATGCAGCCTAGGTCGTCTAAGAAATGGGTGCAACATTGATAAGATTCTTCATTGAATGAATTCTGCAAATGCTTTTGATAAAATGTGTGGTGATTATAAGGAGACCACTTTACTATAAAATTGCTCAGGATTCCCTATCTGGACCTGTCAAAAAATCCTGACTGCACACCAACAATGAGCATTAAATCCAAAACCTCTACCAGGTACCTAGGGATAATTAAATTCTGATTCAGGAAAATATTTCACATCATACAAATAAAAACCTTTACTATATTGAAACTGAAAATGTGATGCTGATCCAGTGACCTAAGGGTCTCAAAGTATAATAATAAATTAATTGATTATAAATTTGGTGGTGACTGCCGACTGGCGTCTGGCGGCCTAGACCTTGAGGCTTGAAAGTGGCCTTCCTTTTCCGTTGACTCCGATCCTCCAGATGGAAATGATATAAAGGATCATTTCTATCTTTTTTCATATGAGCGAGCCAGTCAGCAAAGTGGCTATCCTGTTTCAGCATTCACCCACACAATAGTTGACTGTCAGTCTGTCATGCTGTCAGTGTTGTGAAGTAATGAAGGAGTTGAGTTTTGTTGATTATAAATTGTGATGTTATGTGAAGGACTGGAAAATGAATGTGAAAACTATGGAAACATATTGGCAGAGTATTGTCACTTACTATCAGGACATATGGATAGAGAATATATTCAAATTAATAAGAAATGCCAAATATCAAGGTACTCAATCACTAATAGCAGTGGACTATCATATGTTTTAATGTCAATTATATGAAAGTTAAGACTGAAACTACCTTTTACCTCATCATAACTAATGAAAAATTGTGTGAAGAAAACATTCACAGCCTCTTTGAAGCACTTAGACCACTAAAAAACAAAAATTTTCACGTAAATATGTTGTGTCTCCTTCCTTCAAAACATCATATCGGATGGCGCCACTTTCGTCGACAGTTACTTATCTGCACGCAAATCGAGGAAAACGTGAATTGATTGACGTTTACGTGTTTCCAAATTTAAAATCACAGCATATTCAAACTTTTCAGTGTACCTTTTAACATCTAAGTACAACTAAAACGATAAAAACTTACCCTCAACACAAGGACGACGACAACCACGCGACCGGAGGCGTCGCGACGAAATAAACAAACGGCGCCGCCAAATGAAAAATATTCTCCGATATGGGTAATGTGAAATTGAATCGCAATCATTTTGGGTAGTATGAAAAATGCTCTTTCCAACAGAGCCCTAGTAAAAAACGTGAATGGACAAAAAATAACTTTTATTTCGACATAAATATTGGCCTGTTTTTAAGTCATCCTGGTATGCCGTAAGATTTCGACCTATAAATTGGTGTTCCCCCAATCATTGAAGCTTGAGCAGTGAAAAATATGAAAGCCTAATCTGTTTTGCATCATTAGTGATTCTCCTAGGGTGTTGCCATTTCTCCCTAGGTGTTGCGAGTTGCTTTTGCAAAACGTGTTCCTGAAACGGCTCAATTTTTTGAGCCCTCAGCATTACGCCTATGGGAGCCTCTGACGTCACACGCTCAATATTTTGAGCGCTCAATAATTTGAGCTTTTCCCCCTTGTGCGTGGGACTGATTTATAAAGCATGCTGTCTTAGTTCAAGGCAAATGCTATTGGTAAAAAAATATATGTTCAGAATTTGTATATCACATTTTTTACAAACAGGGATTGATATTAGTGTTTAAGTACAGAGTAGAAGAGCAAGGCAATTTAAAAGGGATTTATATTTATAGGCTATAGCCACCATGGAGGCTTGGTAATTAGTGATAAGGATTAGTTCGATCGGGCTTCCATATTTGTACGAAAGTCACTAGATTGGTAAAGGTCCCAGTAAATTGAGAAGTAAGCCTGTTGTTATTGGGAATTTTGTGAAATACTTCTCAAGGTCCTTTCCCAGTCGTGCTGTATTTGCGAGACACTGCAAATATGCAATTTTATAGAAATTTAACTAGCATAACTGAAACAAACTTAACCTAACTTAACTAAATCTATGCTGCTGAGCTAGGAGGAAGTAGTTGTAGCCAAGTCGTAGTATTAGGCAAATAAGGCTAAATTGTGTTCAGGCCTCACATCAGTTGAATACTATCATACCTCTATCATATTATTGAGGCGTTGCCGCGTTACTTTTTAAGTCTATTGTCATTATCTTGAATCATTTTCTTGAGTGAATTTCCTTGAAACACTTTAGATCCTTGAGAAATGCCATGAAGAACTCTCAATGTACTGAAGACTTATGAAATATGGAAGCTCTTGGAGTCTGCCTTTCCCCGTGCTACAGACCACCAGTAACCGCCAAAAAGGTAAAGGGCAAATTGATTGGTGACTCACCTATGTTCGAGCATAATTTTTTTATTGTTTATGTTTGTAGTACTCTGTGCTGCCTTGATTCTGTGCATTCTGTGTACTGTTATTGATGTAGGTGCCTATTTCTATAGTTTTTGCTACATCAACATAGCACTGGATGGTAAGTGGGTAGTAGTAAAGCAGGCGTCACACTTGTTGCAAAGTGCAGAGGCCAGCTTTACCAACAGAAAACTAGCCACCTGCCAGAATTTTTTGTCTAAAAATTGCTTGACATATGGCGGGTAAACGTGGTGGGTATGTAGGGCTTTACCGTATGTGAAGAGGTCTTAAGGCAAAAAAAAAATCCAGCAGGCTGCTATTTTTCTGTTGGTAAAACTTGCCTCTGGTGTCGTGCAAGGTAAAGATAGATGTGCTGAAATTAAAGAGTAAATGAACAGTTTTTGAAACTGGGCTTGTCACCTACCTACCTGAACTGGCCAAGTTGAAATTATGGGTACCTAGCAACTTGCATCTCTTACTTACAGCTTCTCGAGATTTTGTCAGGCCAACTAGGCCTGTGGGTTTCGTTCTGACCAAGCTCATGGTAAGGATGCCAGGCTATCGGTCTTGTTCGGGGATGGCGAAGGCAATGTCCGCCCAGTGACTGGGCGGACAACTCGGTCAAATTATTTATCTGTATCATTGTTCAAATTACACCCATTAATTGTGTTAAAATTTTCAATTATATTTTATATTGTTGACCTTGTTTCTTGCATGACTATTGTTGTCCATGCCTAACCAGCCTATGTGTGTGTTCTTTTCTTTTATTTTTATATTATTACCCTGCAAATTAACACAAATTTTTAAGTCATGAAGACACTCAAGCCGAAGAAACGCATGCTTTGTACCCCAGCCAGCAAATTTGGTCTGAGCCGTAGCTGGTTTTACTCTGGCTAGCTCCTTCATTTGCTCCAGCTACAAGTCAAGATCTGGGGCTCTACTAGAGCTGACACACGATCCCGGAGCGCTCGCCCGCACCACAGTCGAGCTTATGCCGCATCAGCCGTGCCGTACCTCAACCGTACTTCAGCCACAGTAAGCCAGAGCAGCTACGAGGCAACTGGACCTGGTCGTAGGGTGTTGGACTTGCGCCAGAGTTGGCGGTTCGAAACCATACCAACTCTGGAGCGCCACACGCCACAGCAAAGGCTGGCTAAGCGGAATAGAGCCAAAATGACCCAAGCCCCCTGACGGCGTTCCGTTTACACCGGCCCAAAGTCTGGCATGTCGGAGTTGCCGGGGCAAAACGGACTTAAGCCGAACCAAATTGCTGGTTGGTGTAGTCAAGATTACTTTACTAATAGTATAGTTGCATATTTATCCCTTTAGTGTTGATGTAGGTTCCAGCAAAACCTGTGTCCCCTACCTATGACTTACAGCTATCCTGTGTCTAATTGTTTCTATCGTCAATAGCAGTCTGGCTGTACCCCTGCTTGTTAGGGTGCTTGAGTGTGAGGCAAGACGTCGCGAACCGACTTTGGGCCAGGGGTCGCCGAGCTGCGAATTGCGACCACCTCCTGTTTCCTCGGTTCGGTTCCACGGTTTGTCCAATGTAAACCCGAGCGGCCACTTAACAAAATGAGGGTCAGGAACCTAGAGATCGGCGAGCGAAACGAGGCAACCGGTATGCCCTAGGCCGGAATGACACAGCGTGCCACCCCTGGTCCGTTCGGGACGCCTGCCCCCACAGTCGGGCGCTGGTGGTAGAAGTGTACGGCTGCTTGCAGTGCTATTGATAGTCCCAGCTCAGCCCATCCGCCCACCACCTTATAACGCTATTGGAAGTGCTCACTGGCTACACTGGATGTGATAGGTCCAATGACAGAAAGGCCGGACCATGTCGTGCCAGACTGAATTCATTTTCTGTACGGTGTATTAACGATTGGAACGGACTTCCAGCAGAAATTGTACATTCGCCCTCAGTCAACGTCTTTAAGAACAGGCTAGATGCGCACTGGGAGTCGATCTGGTACTCCACTCCTGTAACAGACTGAGAACTAAGTGGAGTTATGGAAATCGGCGAGAACGGGCCCTACAGGACATCGTGCCTCTTGACCCGATCACACGAAGATGAAGATGAAAAGTTGAGAGTGATCAGTGAAGAGTTAAGATGAGAGCCATTAGGATGAGAGGAAAAATAATGCTGGGATTATTTGTTGTATTGCTTCATGTACCTATTTCTTTGTTTCAGAGCCCAAGATGGTTAGAAACGTCTATGCAAAGTTTGTTGCCAGAACAGTGCTGGTCAAAAATGGTCAGGTTGATGATGCCATGAAACTTCTGAACAGGTGGGTCATACTCCCGGGCTGTAGTTGCACAGCACAGTTGTCGGATACGACCCATTGAAAGCGGTAGCGCTCCTGACTTGTGGTCGTAAGAAGTATGACTACCCTCGCATTACTTACCAAAATAGACAACTTGAACTACGGAATCCTGATGCATGTGTCGAAGTATCAGTGACCAGCGGTTTTGTCTGTCTGGTGTGTATAGTCGTCTACAGAATGATGTTCCTTCACAGGCAATTATTTGCCTGGAGTGGTAGGCTGTGCCGCATCACACGGGCTGAGTTCACAAATTATAGCTTTGTCCCAATGCTCACAATCGACACGCTTAATTGCGTGATAAACGGCACAACTTAGCGCTCCGGTCAACTGATAACTTCTGAGGAGTGGAACATCATTCTGTAGTCGACTACAGTGTCTGACCTCACGTAAATGAGAACGTGATGAGTGACACAGCGGGGATGATCTGATGGATTCCAAATGTATGTGTTGCTTGATGGACAAAGCGCCAATGCCGTCTCGGGCCCGATCCCTGGAGCGTGTTAGCGCTCTAAGGGCGTTGGTGGTTTGGCTCTGGGTAACCTAATCTTTCCTCGTGTTCTTCTTAGTATAGCGGACTGATGGCCTAAAGTCAACTGAATGTTACTGTTTTCACCCCCATACTTGTACCTGATTTTCAGACTCCTGGGACAGGAAGGTTTCCTGGAGCAGTACCGGAGGACGAGGTACTACGAAAAACCGTCGCAGGTCAGTGGCAGAATATTTTGGGGCAAAATGCGGCCACATGGCCCATCACATTTTCATTAGATTGCTGGCGACGCTGTTAGCGTATTCTGGAGCGCTTTGCACACACCACGCACAATATTCGCTCCTGTTGATTGCCTAACATTTCATGGCCCAGATTACTAGCGATGTGCTGGTATTGAATGGTTCTCACGGCGTCAAGTCTAGTGTTTTTGGATATGGATGAATATTAGGCGACAAGTTTTGGTTTCCATACTGACGTTACATGGATGACATGGTGAAGGCATGAAAAAACGACATTGACCGTGGGCGTGAAGTGTTGACATTTACAACATTTTAAGTTTGGTAACCGTTTTTCAGTTCCGAAGACGGATCAACTTCGAAAAATGCAAGGCGATACACAATGAAGACATGGACCGGAAACTGCAGTTTTTGATGAGGAAAAATCGGCTCACACCTTGGGTTGGCTGTGAATGAATGGCTATGCGGTGTCATATGTCTCAATGCTTGTTATACCTATGTAGAATGATTATGTGTCAACTTGGTTTCATAAACATGTCGTGAAAACAGACGCATCTATTCCTTCAACCCGTCAAATGGTCTACATATACAATGTACAGTAACAATCTACAACAAGACAGCCTCACAAATACAGTCCGGGCAGTAAGGTGCAGGCGGTTACTCAATAAAACTTCGTCTATAAGTTATACGAGCAACTACACTGTCAACCACCGCTCGATAATAAAACGCAGCCAAGCCCAAGACCGAGCGAGCCGACGCTCCAACGCATTTGACACAAGTTTAAACGCCTCAAAATAAACTGTGCAAACGCGCGCCAACATGGCGCCAACAGGCACTGGACGCAGAGGCCGACTGCCGCCCAACGAAAGGAAGCATCAAATATTGTCAGGTACCTAGGCCGGCCGGCCGGCCGCCGCCGCCGGCGTGTCTACCCACCCCGCCGCTCGCGCCGACTGCAGGATTGCTCGGGATCACAATGGGACGCCCCCTCCCTCCCCTCCCCGCCCGTCCGACGGCGGCCGCCGCTGGGGGCCGGCCTCAGCTGGCCACATTGTAGTGCCGGTCGTCCTCGGCCACCAGGGTCAGCACGGGCCGCTCGGGCGGCGCGTCGTCCGGGTAGAAGGTGACAAAGTCCTCCTGGCCGTGCGCGCCCGGCCGGATCACTCGCAGCGTCGCCTCCAGCGCGTGGCCCAACAGGAACATCTCGATCTGAGGGGAGACGGCGGCGGCGGCGGAGTCAGTGTCACTGTCAGTCAGGGATCAATTGATCCGTGGTCGGTTGTTATTGTCGACATGGAATGGCAAGGAGGTCGTGTTAAGACGGCTGAATAATGGCAGGGAAGGTCCTCGAAGAATGGAGGAACCACTATGCTGTAAAGCTAATAGAAGAATAAAGTGCAGCGCGGACAATATTTGGGCATGATGGATCACAAAACTCTAGTGGTCAGTCACTTGAAAATCTGGTTTTGAATGTAGCTAGTGTTGTGATGAGCTTTTGCGCAGGCAGCTCTGGAGAATGGAAAAATGGAACAGCTATGCTTGAGGCGTGGGAAGTGTAATACGGATAGGAAACGCCAGCCAAAGCGTGCGGCAACTGCGGAAACAAAGTGTTATTCACTTGTTGCGAACAAGAAGAACGTCTAGAAGGCATCACGTCAAGGATATTACCACTAGATTTTGTGCCGGTATTCCGTTTGTGAAGGATAACATTTACGAGTCATATCTGAAGTTCTAATACTTGCACGAAACCCATAGACAGGTGACGTGCACGGCGCTACATTAACACTCTAAACCAAACGCGGATACACGCATCGAACATTATCGGGATTCCCCCTTTTCCTTGACGAAGGCAGTCAAGGCTAAACCGGTGACTGTCCTTCAGGTATGCAAAGCATCGGAATATACAGCCTCGGCCAAATGCGCCGACAGCAACACTGCAACATGCAATACGGGGGCACGTCCCCAGCTGCGTAGCGTAGCCCGGCCTTCCACAGGTGTGGTGTTTAAGCGGCCAGTGGGCCATGCTTTCTCCGCTTGGCAAGCGCCCGGCGAGCTGGCCACTTACTTGTCTAATGCCTGCCCAGGTCAGCTGTAGCGGGCGTGGGGAGACAGACCGCAGGGTCACCACCCGTACAGTTGGGAGGCATTGCATGCCAGGGCACCACAGCGCAAAGCGCCACAGAGACAGGCGGAAGGGACTGGCAGATCCGACCGGAGGCAAGCCTACTCCCACGGGTGCAGGACTAGTTATATTCTGAGATGGGAAGAGATAGGATCACGAGACTAGCTGAGTTCATGGGGAAGGGCGAGAGTGGGATGCCGAACTCATCGAAAAAATTCAAGAGATAGCCGCGAAGACTGATGCCTAGGTACGCATCTAGGTTTCGAAAGAAAACAGAAGTTGACTCGAGATGTCAAAGGTCAGTGTAAGCTTCGCAGGGATAAGTCAGGGTCGGGTCGGTCCGTGACCTCACCTGCTCCAGTCCGCCCGAGTCGCCCACGTGGTTCAGATGGTTCACCATGAGCTCCCGGGGCGTGGAAGACGTGTCCCGGGCGAACAGCAGCATCGCGAACAGCGGTACCGTCTGAAGGGGAGAACAGACGCTGGTTAGTGCACCGTGCGCGAAACTGTCTGCCTACACAGCGCACGATGGAGTGGAGCAATGCTCCCCACCAGTCAACGGAATACTTGTTTGAAGATGTTCTGTGAAAAAAACACGCTTGACCACACTTTGACCTCCATGATTCGCCAAATAAATGGCGCTGTTTCCCGATATGTCTCGGACCTCACTAAGCACTCACATCTCAATAAATACTCCATTTGCCCACACAATTTGACACGCTAGGCCATATGTACCAAGTACCAAATACCCTCTGTCGTACCCGGTCTGTGCGCGCCTGGTCCCGCTCCAGCTGTACGGCCTCGGCCAGCATGTGCAGTTTGACCGCCTCCATACAGCGCAGGTCGAGGTCGGGGTCGGCGTTCCAGCGCTGCCTCAGCTGTCGGCCCGGCGCCGCGCAGCTCCGCAGCTCCTCACCCTGGGGTAGAGGGACGGAGGAGGGTCAGAGGGAGAGGGGGAGGGTGGGGAGACAGCTGGGGTGGCGCTGACGTTCGGCGCACAGGGCGACATTGGGCACGCAAACTGGTCAGATGTGGGGACTCTTTATTCACGGTTGATTCGAGCCCTTCAATAGATTGCTTAACCCACGAGCCGCTGGGGGGGGGGGGGGCATAAAGTTGCCCCCCCCTTTACGTTTTGTGAAATATCTCCGGAACCTGATGAGCTACGAACGTGAAACTTGGCATAGCTTCAAATGAATAGCTAGGCAATGTTTGAGGAAAGTTTGGTGGTTGCAGCACCTAAGATGACGTCACAGTGACGTCATAAAGTTTTGCCGTTTTCCGATATGGACCGTTTCTGACGACGCTGAGCATGAAACTCAACTGTAAATGAACTAGACAGCACCTGCTGTCATCCTAAAACACCTAACTACACTTCCATCTAGCTTCTGACCAATAATCGGTCCTTTATATTCGGTCCCATATATCTGATGTATCGTGAGGAATATGAGAGTCGCAAATCTATAATTTCACATATGACGTCACTGTGACGTCATTTCAAATGGGATCAACACTAAATTTGGACACAACCTCGGCTAGGTATTCAGGAAGATGTGTGCAAAGTTTCGCTTCTCTATCTCTTCGCGTTGCGACGATATCGTCGCAGAAGTAAAGGGGGGGCAACTATATGCCCCCCCCCCCCCCAGCGGCCGGCGGGTGGCGCGGAGGCCCAGCGGCCGCCGGGTTAAAAATATATGCCTATACCAGAGTTAGCAAGCACATAACTAGGTATATCCAAAAACGCCTGTTGTTGACCCGGCATGTTAACACATTAAAGTTATGAGGGTTCCATGGCTAGAATCTCTTCACTCAGGTCTTCCTCCTTGCCGTGGTCAGGGTGGAAGGCGCCGTGCCACCTTCCTCCCTCCCCTCTCGCCCTCCAACAGTCCCCTCTTTGTCTCCCACTACCCCCCCTCAGTATGCTCACCAGCTGACTGAGTGTGCTCAGGCAGTCGTGGATGCCAGCCCGGGCCGTGCTGACGTCATACGGCAGCCGCGAACCGAAGCTCCAGGCGGTCACCCAGTCGCCGGCCGAGTCCAGCAGGTGGCGGCACCTGTTGGCGTTGGGTGGCGGCAGACCTTTGGCGAGCAGCTGGTAGAGGGCAGCGCGCACGGCGCAGTAGTTGTCGCCGCGTACCCGCTGGAGGTGCGTCAGGCCGTACCGACTGGCCATCTCCTCGTAACCCTGCCGACAGAGGGCGCCGTCAGACGGTTGAGACGGGCGTGCGATCAAACACATTGCTGGGGCCCGGTACCAAAACTTGCCGGGCTAAAATAAGCAATAAGCATGATAACATTCAAGAATAAATGATAGCCGTATAAAAAACAAATTACCGCTTTACGAACGTAACGGTTTGGAGAGAAATAGCAGATAAAAAATATTGCTTGAGTTTGGCGCGGTATCGGATGATGTTAGAAAAACACATATTCTAATTTGTAGCATACCAACGCGAGACCGTGCCCCTATCACAGCTGAGTAACCACTTCCCTCACCGCCGCGTCTCTTACCTGCCGCATGGTGGTGGCTCGCGGCGTGGTGCCCCTCCACTCCTGCTGGCCGTACTGCACCAGGTCCATCGACTCGCCGACCGTTTCCAGGGCAGCGCGCGCCGCCAGCGTGTCCAGGCCGTCGTCCCAGTAGGCCGAGTCGCGGTTGGCGCGCCGCTGCTGCTCGCCGGAGGTGGTGGTACCCGAGGTGGGGTTGCCGTTCAGGCGGTCCGTGGACCCGGAGACGGCAGAGTCCGAACTGAGGGCGCCCGACTCCCTGTGAACGGAGAGACTGTCGTCAGCGGTGGAGCGGGACTGAACAATGACAGAGGTGAGCGGAGGGGAGGGGAGGAGGGGCTGCATCGCGGCTTACCAGTTCCCCATGACGCGGCTCCCCGGGCGGCGGCCACTGGTGTGAAGACGACGCAGTCTGGCGTACCACACAGCACTAGCTCAAATCACTACGCCAACAGGCAAAATCACAACGACCAGCTACACCACCAGAAGAGTACGTTGACAGCACCACCCTAAACTTGCAGCCTGAATAGTTACTTTCTCCGATATTTTTCACACAGCCACCAATCTAAGCCCCCAGAGCCAGCAGCGGCCGACGGTCGGGTAGCGGCAGCAGTGGATCGCGGTCAGGTCCGTCTGGCTCGCTACCCCGGCCCGCATCGGTGCCAGGTCGGCACACCGCCCGCTGGCCCGCCTGTGGTGGGTGGGCGGCCCTGGCGGCCAGCCAGGTCAGCACGGCGGTATGGCCGGCTGGCAGTAGACACCCGGTCATCAGCTGAGACGCACGCGGAAACGACGCGGCGGGAGTGACGAGTGACAGCTGAAGTACACAGACCGAGTGTGTGGAGTGCCGGTGAGAGCGACGGGCGGGGGAGATAGCCGTCAACTGGCGAACAAAGGCCGGCAAGGGCTCAAGGATCCTGGTGGGGCAGGTTCTAAGAAAACTGAGACTGCTGTTCAGGAACTGAAAAAGCGACTGGACGACTGAGTGTAGGTACATATATTGTTCAAGGATTCACTTGAACGCTTCATATATTGACCGGTTGAGCTCATAAGGACGTGATGAGATGACCCTCTTAGCACCCAATACCCATCAACGATGCTCCTGAGTGCTGCCGCCCATCACGAGTTGTCCCTATTGCAGGCCATTGCCGGCTCCATTTGGCCCAAATTGCAGTGGCGTTTCAATAGCGCGCCCCAGCCGGGCCCGAGGCCTGACGCAACTGCCGCTCTAATGCCGCTCAGTTGCAGGGCCTCGCAACAGGCGAGCAGGACGGCGGGCCCTGACTCAGTCGGAGGCGACACTCCAACACATCAGGTGGACAGGAAGGGCGGAGACACGCGGCGTGAGACTGCAGACAGTCACGTGCAGATCTGAGTCACCGTGATAGCGGCGCACGTGAACGCGGCAGGTGCAGAGCATGGGAGGAGGGGATGGGGTGCTTTGTGTTGGTGCTCTATATGCAGGGGTGCTGGTGACCATATGGAGCTGCTGAGACTGAACCCTTCATTAAAATCGCAGAAATTCGTATGAAGTGGTTAGTAACTATGCAAACAGAAAACATTAAGCAAGAAGTGGCAAAATAAGACCATAGATTATTGGAGACAGTGTAAAATATCGATATCGGCAATGTACAGTCTGTCTTAAAAGTACCGCGCAAAGTGGCGGTGGATCCATCAAGCCTGACCGAGGAAGGGCCATTATAATTTGAAAGTCACCGAACCAATTGACCTGGGGGATGGACGAGGATGTCAATTGCTTCGGTGACTCAAATTTAGCAGGCCCTTCCTCGGTCAGGCTTGATGGATCCACCGTCACTTTGCGCGGTACTTTTAAGACAGACTGTACAGTCTAAGGGTAGAGGTGCGGTAACATCATTTTAACACGAATAACCAAACCGTTAAAATCAATTTTAAGCGGGGGAATCCAGCCAGACACATTTACAAGTATGATTTGAGAGAAGACCATGCAAAATATCATGGAATTAGGAACTCGAACACAGCAGATGGCAGCAGCGTAGGGCGGTCGCTCGCGCCTCCCGTTCCTACGTACTCACGCGTGTGTCTCGGCCACGGGTGAGAGCGGGGTACGGGTGAGCACGGCAGAGCTGTCCATGCCCTCGTAACCAGACTCGGTGAGCGGGTCCACCAGAGGCGAGTGCTCCCGGCTCAGCGCCAGCCTGACGGTGAATAGGGGGTGGAGTTAGGCACGGGTCGAGCAACAGAGCAGTCCATGGGGGATACCTACGCACGCACGGTGGAGTTTGAATAGGTCAACTGCAACCGCATACAATCCATCAGGGCTGCGGAGTCGGAGTCGGAATCGGAGTCGGAGTCGGTCGGAGTCGACAGTTGTGACCGGAGTCGGAGTCGGAGTCGGAGTCGATTTTAGAAACCCGAGCCGGAGTCGGAGTCACCGAAAATCTGTCGACTCCGCAGCCCTGCTAGGTCTGCGGAGTTAGAGTCGGGAGTTGGAGTCGGTCGGAGTCGACAATTCTGCCCGGAGTCGGAGTCGGAGTCGGAGCTGGTTTTTGAAAGCCGGAGTCGGAGTCGGAGTCGGAGTCGCCGAAAATCCATCGACTCCGCAGCCCTGCAATCCATAACAACGCACACTACTCCATAGCAGCGTCCGAGTCAGTTAGACAACCTCAAAACCCAGACAATCAGTTCAATGACATGGTATTTGAGTCAGGGTGAGTACTAGTGATGTCAATTACGGAAAATCGGAATACCGATACCAAACCAAATCCCAACCAAAACCGTGGAGAAATACCGAAACCAACCCAGCTTGGGAACATGAGGAAAATACAAACTTTCTACCGATTTCTTAGCCTCTTAAACATTAGCGAGGGTTCATGATACCAACAAAATACCAAACCATAGACCTCTGTATACATGGACTGGACACAGAAAATCCGGCCATGACCACAACGGCCCTAAAAGTAAATGCTTATAACTCGAGAGTCAGTTCACCTACGACATCCATTTTTTCACCGCCGCATAGCCCCATTCATTGAAAATGATGGGGATCATCCGCCGAACCGATGCGGTGTAACGGGGGAGCACCAGCACGTGGCGCGTGAGAGATGTTTGTGAAAATGGCGTGACAGTATCTCGGGAACGGCTTGACCGAATGAGTCCAGATTTGGCACCCAGCTAGGTATAACACACCTGCCAATAACACATGTCCCAATTTTGAGGTGCCGATGCACGTGCGCACGTGCACACCCCTTTTTTGTATCTCAGAAACTACTCGTCCGATTTCGCTCAAATATTGTATACAGGCAACAGCCTAACAACCATTGCTGGCTCACACCTCAAGCAAGGGGTGCGACTGCACGTGCGCACGTGCACACCCCTTGTTCATATCTTGGAAACTAGCAGCCCGATTTAGCTGAAACTTTGTATCTGCCTCCCTAAGAGCCAAGCTAAACGTTCCTGATACTCATCGCAAGCTTGAATTGCCGCTGCACGTGCGCACGCGCCACGCGCGCACCCCAATTCGTGGCTCGGAAACTAGCGGTTCCGTTTTGTTTTGCTGAGATCTTCTACGCAGCAATGTACTCCATAACCACTGGCGACTTATACATTTGCGGATCTTAGAAACTTATTTCCCAACTGGACTGAACTTCTGCATTATCAGGTGCGGCTGCACGTGCGCACGTACACACCCCTTGCTTATATCTTGGAAAGTATCCGTCCGATTAAGCTGGAATTTTGTCTATGCCTCCCCAAGAGCAAAGCTAACTGTTTCTGATTCTCGTCACAAGCTCGAAGTGCCGCTGCACGTGCGCACGCGCCACGCGCGCAACCCTAATTGGTAGCTCGGAAACTAGCAGTTCCGTTCTGCTGAGATCTTTTACGCAGCAATGTACTCCATAGCTTAACCACTAGCGACTTATACACTTGGTATCCTAGAAATTTGCTTTCGAACGGGACTGAACTTCTCTATAACGATGAAGTTAATTGGCAGTAAAAGCACATGCATTGTAAAATATATGTATTGCAGATCAGACTGAGCACACTTAGGTATACATAGCTGATAGTTCTTCAGCACCGAAAAAAAATCCAGCTCATCAACCAGTAGGTACCCACTCATCGGTTAGCTGCACGATGTAGCATTTTCACATGACAAACAGCAAGGCAAACAACAGAGCTAACAACAATACAGGATTCACTCGCGGACGCTTTATCAATTAGCTGTGCGATTTTTTTTTCGAGAAAACTGGCTCACTGTTGAACCGCCCAATCCCGGGAAGAGCTGTTGGGTACTTGTTCGGGTGGAAGAGGTGCCGTTTTTCCCCAATCAGTCACCATGAAGACAGGGCACTCGAAAAAAGATGTGCTAGAGAGTATATGCTTTCCCGCGTCACACGGCTCACCGACCCGCCAATGGTCGAGCACTTATTGCACTTCTCGAAAAGGTTCCTTGAAATCCGCTGTAATAATAATAGCAAGAGCCCAACAGTGGCTATGCCCAACAATGTAATGGCTTACACAGAGCTGTTGGATGTCCGCGGATAAGTGCTGGTGCATGTCATAGTCTTCCACCACCGATGGCGGTAGGATGAAAATGGGAAGAAGGATGGAGCGGGATGGCATTCCATTCATATGGCGCTGACGGCTACTGAGCTCTTGGTTGCTAAACTGGATCATCATGCAGTGTCCCTTGTGCGGTCTGGGTGTTCGTCAAAATGATGACAGAAAAGTACACGCGGTAGCGTTTAGCCGATACACGACCCTTGTGGGCCATGTAGCCGGTGGCCAAGGCCGCATTGGATGTCGTGGGTCGTGGTCCCCCATGACGGTGCGATACCAGCCAGCTGGCCAGTCCGCCTGCCACCTCTTCTTGGTGGACCGCGCAACGACCTGCGTGAGGGTGCGGACGTCAACCGGGGTCATCTGCTGGGACAGCCCGGCCGCTTCCTTGGCCAGGGCGTCCGCCCTCTCGTTGTCGGCGAGTCCACAGTGGGCTGGGGCCCATTGCAGCTGTATTGTGCTGCCGTCAGCCGTCAGGCGCTACACTTGGGCCGCAGCGCCTCCAGCCATGAGCTGCCTCGATTCAAAGGCGTCAGCAGTTACTCGATCGGCGGAGCGACTCGGCCTCGCCGGCCTACCGGACACTGCGGCCGATCTTGTCGCTCCTTTTCTATCATGTCCTAAATGGGCCACTCTTTTAGAGAGCGTGCGCCGTACAACTCGGTGAGGACCTTGGCCGGCAGAATAGTTTGCTGGGCGGCGACCGGAGCCGGCTCGATCCCTGCTACTACGGCCTGTGCGGGGCTATGCAGCGGTCAGCTGACAGTCGCACGTAGCTACCGCTGGAGCAGCCAGATGGCGGAGAGCGGGATATTTAGGACAGCGGCTGCGTGCTCCAGTGTTCCGTCCACGCATCCCGATGAACGACGCTGTAGGCAATGATTATCCACATCAGGTCAGCCTGTGGACCTGCATCGTGGGCTACACCCGGGAGCAAAGGCTGTATCAGCCTCACTGTGCCAAATAGTGCTTAATGAGGTCACTGTACGCTTCAGCAAGCACCGAACACTGCTGATCAATTTTCCCTCCTACATTATGTCGGCGACTGCTGCTGCTCCTGGAGTTGGCATTTCGATGATGTGCTATCCTGGGGGCATTGTTCGTTGGCGGCTCGTTGACTATCTCTGTGAGTGGCGTCACTGAAAGAAATAGAGAAAAAAGTATGTCGGTCACACTTTATAGGATAATGTGTGCTTGGCGGTAATCTTTTACTTTTAAGAACAAGCGGCCCTCGCCAAGCATGATCCACAAAGTCATTACGATAGCATGACAAGAACAAGTAAATGTGTTTGTAAAATTGAGGTTTCGGATAGATTTATGTATTGCAAAACTGCCTTTACACAGTGATACTTGATATTAACCTACGTCCTACAAGCACATCTGCATTGAGAGGCAAACGACTTAAAAGTAATAATGAATGTAAATGCGTCAAGATTGCTATTTTACAGTTTGATCAATGACACTCACAAATAGATTGATTCGAATTCGATGACATTAATTATATTGTCTGCGAGCATGCCTTCCAACCATGGCAGGCAGTGCAGTAACTAATCTGGTTTATTGAATACCGACTTTGGCGAGAAAACATAGAAAAAGCAGCAAAGACAAATAACAATGAAGCAAGTTATAAAGCATTACTCACGCTTGGAAGGATCTGGCTAAGGGTGGATGGAACCACAGTGTATAGATGTAACGATGCGTCAATCAGGAACGTTTGCTTGCTCTTCCTGTGGGCTCTTGTAGGTAAATGGTCATCTCCAAAATGCAGCTAAAAAACGAACAATTGTTCAACAAATAACCTTCTACTTGTGACATTTAATAACGTATCAGTTTGTATGCACACCGACACCAATTATTCAACCGAAACTTGATAAGTCCTCAATATGAAACACTTAAAAGCGAAACTTAAATATACAATTCCAACTTTATGCCTTGCTTTATGCCTATTTTATGACAAAACACGTAGGTCTGGGAATAATGCTAATGATACTTTACAGAAAGTCACGTGCTCTTTTCCGTCGCCGTCATTAAGACGAATTTATTTAAGACGGTCCGTCATGAGCGTTGCACTTTTATCCCCTTTCAGAGCAATAAAACCGATTTAACGTTATACTGTTTTTGAGAACAAGTATCCTAGAATACAACAGCATAGGAAATTAGCTCAAATGCTCACCAACTACCGGATATTTATCCGCATACAACTACAACGATCGTAATCTGTTGGATTACACGATCAACAGTTTTAAGTCGTTTGTTGTTATTTTTAGTTATGATATCAACTATTCAGGTGTGAATAAGCGGTAGTTGTGGGGACCATGGTTGTATTCAAAGTTTCAACGAAATGGGACTGTTTATTTCCGAGATATAATGGAAGGGTGCGCACGTGCGCACGTGCAGCGGCACCTCAACATTGAGACAAACACCAGCAATGGTTATAAGACACTTGGGTATATGCAAAGTTTCAGCTAAATCGGGCTGCTAGTTTCCAAGATATGAACAAGGGGTGTGCACGTGCGCACGTGCAGTCGCACCCCTTGCTTGAGGTGTGAGCCAGCAATGGTTGTTAGGCTGTTGCCTGTATACAATATTTGAGCGAAATCGGACGAGTAGTTTCTGAGATACAAAAAAGGGGTGTGCACGTGCGCACGTGCATCGGCACCTCAAAATTGGGACATGTGTTATTGGCAGGTGTGTTATACCTAGCTGGGTGCCAAATCTGGACTCATTCGGTCAAGCCGTTCCCGAGATACTGTCACGCCATTTTCACAAACATCTCTCACGCGCCACGTGCTGGTGCTCCCCCGTTACACCGCATCGGTTCGGCGGATGATCCCCATCATTTTCAATGAATGGGGCTATGCGGCGGTGAAAAAATGGATGTCGTAGGTGAACTGACTCTCGAGTTATAAGCATTTACTTTTAGGGCCGTTGTGGTCATGGCCGGATTTTCTGTGTCCAGTCCATGTATACAGAGGTCTATGACCAAACACATTAGGATTCAAATACCAAATACCGAGTTGGTATCGGTTTGGTATCGGTATACCAAAAAGTTGGTATCCGATTGACATTTCTAGTGAGTACCGAACGCCGATTCAGAGCATCAGGCACAAGTATGAACCAAACTTATCAGCCGGTATCAACCACTAGTCAGCACAGCACAAAGCTCTTTCATAGCCGAGATTCATTTCACAGCAATCATTTCACAACAATCATAGCTATGGAATCTAGTCGGCGTTTGATAGATCGGACAGCATTAGCGCTCAAAGTACCACAACCAGTTATCTCGGCACTTCCCGTCGGAAACCACGGCAGAAATCCGGAATGTTCCGGCTCGAAGCACCCTCTGCGACGCCTCAGCGCCTGGGTCTCCGACCACTCAGAACAGTTAATCCCGCCACGGCCCCCGGGACCAATGGAGATCTATGGGTTGGAGGGCCCGCCTGCATGGCGAGGGTGTCTGCTGCGACGCGGTAGCATCAGCATCCCGCATGGGTCTCAGGGACTGGGCGGGGATAGGGAGGGGATGGCGTCATGGAACAATGAAGGGGTCCAGGAACATTCGGAGGGAGAGCATTACGGGCGGGCTTTACAGAGCGGAAGGGCCGCCAGACTGCCAGAACTGCGCAGCGTCGAGAGCGAGCAGCTCCAGTTATGCAGCTCAGACAATCCAATCGAGCGGTGGATAGTGAATGGTTTATAAGGAGAGACACGGCACCAGAATATTACGGGCGCCCGCGGACCGGTATTGAACTACAGCCTGGAAATTTAGAGGTCATATCCGGAGTACGACCACAAAGCCGATAGCAGGCTGAAAGATACCGGGGATGGGAAGGAACGGGTGGTTTATGTGGGTTAGGGCTCATCTCAGGCTTCGCTCACAAATAGGTGACGCTCGCCATTTCCGTTTACAGCAGCCGAGTCACGCCCTAAACAATGGATATATTCGTCGGTCGGCTACGGCCTTTGATTCCACTGAGTTTGAACAAGTTTGATCGCCCAATTCGAACTTCAAGTTAGTTTAAAGCAAGTTTCCACGACCAGCTTATCCGTGGCTTATCTTACATTAATTAGTTCATTCAGGTTTTCCCAACGGATACCAGCTGACTATGATTACCATGAGCGTGTCGCCAGGGGAATGTTTGGAAGCTCAAGGCAGCGGCTTGGTCAATATCGGCCTACGCCGTGTGGCGCAGCCCTGGCAGGAATCCTTTTGAACAGAGCCATGGTGATGTCTATAGGAGGTCACGAGGAGCGCCCTGGCAGTTCGGATAGATTAACGAGGTACCTCGCTGGCAAAACAGACCCGTACCCTCGCCACGGCAGAACACAATGGTCCCAGCGGTAGCGTGTGGGAGTCGGGTGGCACATGGGCCACACACGGACACCGTGACAATGAATACCAAACAGCACGACACCGCTCAGCGCCCAACTTCCGGGGCCATTTAACAGGAGGGGGACAAAGCATCGCCCAGTCCGCGTCTCCGCCCGGCTCTCCAGTCAGTGCTTACTGTCAGGGTGTGCGCGCTGAGGGTCTCGAGAGTCAGCCGCGGTACTTCATGACACTCAAGCGGGGGTCAACACTCCTGGGCGAGCCGGGTGGACCCACTCCGCAGTATTCCGGAGCGTTGGACCCTCCCTCCCGGGGCGGCGGCGCCCGTCTGCGCCCGACATATCGATCCCAGCCAGCTGGTCACCGGTCTGGTGCAGCCGGCGCCGGAGGTTCGTACTCACGTGAGGCTGCCCTGTCGACTGGCCGAGGAGGCGCGGCTCTCCTGAACCGTGGTGGCCGAGCTCTCGGCACTGCCCTCCCGCTCGTCAGAGGCGGTGCGCGGGTCCAGACTGCGCAGACTGGCCGAGTCTCGGCTGCCGCGCGAGCCCAGCTCCAGCTCCAGGTCGAGTTCGAGGGCGAGCTCGTCTCCCAGCGGCCGGCTGCAGGAGCGGAGAGCGGCCGTCAGGTGGTGCGCGGCCAACACAGTCACTAACACGGCCGGCAGCGCGTCCCGCCACACCAGGGCGCAGAGCGGCACCAGCGCCGGCAGCAGCGGCCGGCCGCGCGGCACTGCCGACACACACAGACGCACCAGCTCCGCGGCCATCGCCGAGCACACGCGCAGCGACACAGACACCACGCGGAAGACTACCGGCGCCGACACCCGGGCCACCACCCGCAGCCGGCAGATCAGCAGCGCCAGCAGCCGCAGCAGCACGGCCAGCAGGCGCAGCAGCACCAGCAGCGTCCAGAGCAGCAGCTCCAGCAGCCGGCCGGTGGCGGTCAGCAGGCGCGGCGCCAAACGGACGGCCAGCCGGGTGGCGCGGCGCAGCAGCGGCACCAGAGCGGCGGCCGCCGCCGGCAGCATCGGGCCGCCGTCGGTCCGACGACCGTCGGGAGCCGCCGCCGCCGACGGCAGGGCGCAGTCTGCCGGGCCGCGCCCCGCCGACCGCCGCCGGCATGGCGCGCGCGCTGGCCCGCGGCCAACTGAACTCAACTGTCGTGCCGCCGCTGCCGCCGCCGCCGCCGCCGCCGCTGCATCGGTCACCGGGCGGACGGATCGGTCCGAGCGGGTCAGACCGCCGGGCGCCCAGTCAGGTCACCGGCAGTTCCGAGACAATTCCAGACAATTCCGAGACAACAGACAAGACGACTGGGTAGGGGGTGAGTTGAGGCATTGGGCCGTCGTTCTCACTTGAGCTGAGAGCAGCTGATGACATCAAGGTAATTTAGGCTGTCAACTGGGTGGCCAAAAAAGCCAAGCCTCAACTAACGTCAGCGCAACATGCTACGACAGCCCGTCAGCAGCACACCATTCGCTTGGCAGAGTTACGTCATCTAAATGAGGACGTTACCCGTGGGGACTTTGATGTTGGGAAGTGACGCATGAAGATGCTTTGATGATGCGGCGCTACGCTGATCGTTCAGGTGCATAGGGCGGATCTTGTTAATGGGACAGGGAAGTGCGCGAAAGACGCACTGCACCTGTCTGCGCTTAGCCTCTTCCGGTTGTTACCAACTTCAAAGAAAGGACACTACTTATATATGTTGCCGGTAGTCGGAAGAAAAAAATTGGCAAAAAAACTGAAACAGAGATGTTTTGAATAACATAGCAAATAACCGGTAAAGCGTACCTATATGATACACGTTTAAATTTCTATCGTCAGATCAGTTCTCGCCGACGTCGGACAGCCATAAGCGATTTCTCCGAGCCACGACCACCATAACGAATTCTCTATTTCCGTACCCGGCTCCAGCTGTGGTGTGAAAACCCTTCTTCTCGAGGGAGAGCGCACATGTCGCCACTATTCTCCAGGGCTCTGTGAGTGATGGTACACGACCTGTCTCACTGGACACTGATATGTGGCCAAGCGAGCCCAGCTGGTGAGGCCTCTGAGCATGGATCGCGGTAGTGAGGTGGAGTTGAACCTTGTGTCGGACATAGTTAGACAGCACATATCAGCCAGCACCTAGCGCACAATTCGTGCTGTCTGCACGACAGCGAACTAACGAGCCTGACACACAAAAGCTTATTGATGAGCACAATGCTTCCAAAATTCGTCCAGAAATGCCACGAATTACAGGTGCACAATTTAAACACGTTTCAAGTGAATAGTTGTAAATATGGGCGATGACACTCCTATGGGTAATCGCCATGCCGTTTTGATACAGTGGTGTACCTGTTGAATGTTTGCAGTTCACAATGCAGGACCAAAAGCATCAATCGATGGTATGATCGCACGCATGACCAGCTATGACCTTCAGTCATGAAACCGAGCGGAAAAGCAGGGGCCATTTGCGTCGTCCGTCCCGTGTGTCACGTCAATGTGCCAGTTAAGTCTCCTGTCCCCTATTTAACTTGTTCGGTTTTTCATTAGATAACAAGCAACTTTGATGAAACATTTAACAGATCTAGGGTCTGGTACAAAGCGGCATTCTCGACATTCATGTGAAGACAGCTGCGCGTTCGTTCGCTAGAAGCGATTCAACTAGAAACTAATTTTAGATCTTCAACAGCCATTAAAAAAGTTTAACAACGAAATTAGGTGGTACATCCATTTTGTAGCACGGCAGAAAACTGCGAGGAACGTTGTTACATGTAAGTTACAGAAATTCAATTTCCCTCAAGAAACAGTTAGACGAAATTTTACATCCTATTACACAACCTGTAGAATGTCTGCAGAAGTTACAGAAGAGAAGCCCGGAAATCATGCTGCATGTAACAGACAATGGAATTAAAACAACATTATCTGGTAAGACCAGCATAACAAGGCAACAAGCCCGAGATAAGCACGATGCCCCGATATCTCCCTCGCCCCCGTGTCTCCCTCCCGTACTGACCTGTCGCCGGCGTCGGCGTCCTCCTGCCAGGTCTCGGGGTACTCGGTGATGCCCGAGTTGTCCCACTCCAGACTCGGCATGTCCTCGGCGCGCAGCTCCAGGCTGGGCGACCGCCGCAGGCTGGACGAGGCCGACTGGCTCCGGCTGAGGGAGGGCCGGCCGGCCGAGCTGGCGCCGTCGGCCGGCGGGCGCGCCGCGCGCGGCACCGCGCTCCACCCGTGCACCGGGGAGTCCCACTCCAGCGAGCCGTCCGTGACCGGCGGCGAGTCCAGCGACCACTCGGCCGCCGCCCCGGCCGCCGCCGCCGCCGGGCCCGCGCCCAGTCCGCCCAGGGACGCGTCCGACCGGAGCCGGTGCTCGGAGGCGGATTTACCCAGCTGCCGGCGGCCGGCGCGCTCCTCCTGGTGCGGAAAGTGCAGCGTCACCAGGTTACTGTCCATCGTCGACATGTCCAGCTTCAGCACGTCCAACTGACTCTCCAACTGGTCCAGGAAGTCCACCGTGCTCGAGCCGAGCCCGTCCGCCCAGGCCAGGTCCAGGCTCAGGTCTGAGGCACTCGAGTCAAACGACCCATCGCGGCACATGCGGCAGAGTTCGCTGACGCTCAGGTCCACCGAGCCGCCCTGCTGTGAGGCGTCCCGCAGCTGTCGGCGGAGCAGCTGGCGCCGTGCCGCTGACGCCGGGGAGGCCGGCGGTAGGCTGCGCGCCCGCGGGGAGGTGGAGGAGCCCGACTGACCGCTGTCGGCTGAGGTGGCCGCGCGCGGCCGGCCGGAGGTGGGGGTAGGGCCGCCGGCGGAGACGTGCGGCACGATCACCCGGCGGCGCACCTGCTTCAGCGGCGGCGCCCGCTGCGGCGTCTCCGTCCGCTGCGGGGAGAACAGGGAGTTAGTGGGGGCTTAGAGACGTGGTGACGGATGGACAGAGTTGCGATTAAAAAACGATACACGACAATAACGAATGGCAAACGCTCACATAATTGTTACCAGCGTGTTTTGGTCTAGGAATTAGGATTGGTATTGGCAAGATAATCACTCAAAAATAATTAACCAGAACTAGAACTTCTGTAAGCTCAGAGAGCCTTCAAACCATTTGAATCCATTTCTTAGTTTTGCCATCAAACCTACCTCCTGCGCGCGCCTGGCGGCGGCGGCGGCGGCCTGCGGCGAGCCGGTGGACGAGCTACCGCTGCTGCTGACCAGCTGGTCCGCCTGCAGACGGTTGAAGATGACGCCCGCATCCTTGTTGTAGAAGACCGGCTCGAAATTCTTGCTGGTCTTGTTACCCATGTCCGGCTCTAGGCTCGAACACTCGGCTTCATCGTCCGAGGCAAACTGCAACGGATCGGGGACGGACGTCAGAGTACTGCTCGCTAGGAGCTGCGCACACCACCCTCTCTGCGTCTACAGCAGCCACCAGGACACCGCGGCTCGCTCGGAATTTCGCCGATGCGTAGGCCAAAAATGTGATCGATACGGGGTAGATTAGTATGTCCAGCAAATGACGCGTTCCATCAGCGATTGGCGGCTCCTATCCCGCGCCTGCGGTGATTAAGTCGGGTGACTGGCCTACATAGCGGCGACGATGTGATGCTATGAAAACACGCCGCACGAATAGATTGATGGTGCTTTGGAGAGCGGGGCCTTTAGAGACGCCATAGCAAACATTGTGGGTCATTAGGGAACTCTGAGGGGAAATTAGAGAGGCAAGCCGGAACAAGAACAATTGATCATCGCACCAATGCAGAATTAGCAGGGGAATGGGCTAACACAAACAAATGTCTTATAGAACACGAAACAATGAGCATGCATAACTCATAAAAAGGGGCCCGGCTTTCAAACCAGAAGATTGATCAAAGAAAACGCTCCGTGCAAAAAAAAATGTACATTCTTCCCACAAAGATGCTAAGGCACTGAGGTGTTCCACTTTGGTGGCCTTTCCTACGCCTCATCAAAAAATTAAAATGCAGCGCAGCCTATCGGTCGTCGTAAGGTCTGAAACAAAAATGCTTGATCACTTCATTGTGTCCTGTAACAACATTTGTTAAAAGCTGTAGGCGGAACATTGAAAGTATATTTACAATTAAATCCGCATCACTGCAAAGCCATTTTCATAAACTCCACGCCAGCGTCCATCTTGCAATCTACTCGGTCATCATCAGTGTCCATTCTGAAACAGAGCGTCCCATTTTGACAGCGGGCCGGCCGAGCGTTTCTCAAACGGCACCCCTGTGGGTGCTGGGTCGGTATTTACGGCTGCGTTCGCCGACACGGAGCGCCGTTCCGTGTCGTATTATCGCACGCAGCGCCCCAAGACTGGCGCCAGAAGCCCAACAACTGCTGAAGACGAGCGGGGGAGAGAAAGAGAGAGAGAGAGAGAGAGAGAGAGAGAGAGAGAGAGAGAGAGAGAGAGAGAGAGAGAGAGAGAGAGAGAGGAGAGAGAGAGAGAGAGAGAGAGAGACGCGGAGTAAGCAGCAGCAGGGGTAACGACAAGGGGCTCGGAGGGAGCCGAGTACGCGGCTCGACTGATCCAACTGAGCGGCGGCAGGCACTCAGCCCAATAACGGGCCCGCCGTCGTGTTCGACAAAGCCCGGCGCACTTCCAGCCGCCGCAGCTCTCAGGGCTCCGAGGGAATCCTGTGTGATCCTTCCAACTGATTACATCTCCGCAGCTCGGACACACCTGCTCCCGCCTCTAACTAATCACGGGCGAGCACAGAGACGGCGAAGGGCCGAGCCCGACCACAAAGTAGGCGCGGGGTGCACGTTGCGACACGGGGATCGCCAACTTTATGTTCCCCGTGCGGAAGATGCAGCCAGCTGCGGTAAACATGCACCACAAGCCCGTGCGCAACAGGGGAACAAGGCGCCCCAGTTCACCGAGGCACGTGCCAGGGACGCCACACAGTGGGCCGGGGGCAGGGGGTCACCATCAGCTGATGTAACGGGTGATCGATATGCTCCCCGAGGTCAGCCGACCTGGCCCGGCCGGTCCAAACTGCGCCACACAGCAGGGGTGAGCGGCGTCAGCTAATTCCAGGCGTCAGCTGATTGCAGATGTGAGCTGGCATCTGATCGCCGTGCGGGGCCCCGGCAGGCGTCATCCAGAATTGGAGGATCAAAAGCATGCGATAGCATGCTTTTGCATCCGGAAATTCCCATTGGTGGGTCGCTGAAAAAAAGTTCGGCTGAACCTGTTTGTCAGTGAGTATGTGAGTGAGTTTGTCCAAGCTTTTTTGGACCTGGAGTCAAAATGGGTGGACCAATCGGGACGAAAGTGGGACCGTTTGATTCGTCTCCGGCGAGGTAAACTTTTGGTGCTGGCCTCGGTTCGCTCGGTGCTTGGTGGCACATGCTATTCCGCTTCAAAGTTTCGGTGACACGAAATTTTTTGTCAAGGCTACAGGTCAACCCGAGGTCACGGGCAAAGCCATACTGGCGGGACACATCGGTAACACCTTGAACCAGTTTCCAGGGGGGTCACCGTCTGCGAGGGGTGCAGGCTGCACGTGCTGGGGTCGGAAAACCGTTTTGACGTGAGGTCCTCTGGCTCAAAGAAATTTTAAGCTATTAACCTCAAAATCGGTTCAATGGTAGTCCCAGGCAAGGCCTCCAAAATAATGCACATTTGGTTGAGCTAAACTCTGTGGTGCATGAGCTATGCACGTGCAAGCCGATTGCACCCCTTCGTACGTTGCCACGCCTGCAGGGCAAACGGCAGCTCTAACTGCAGTTCAAAACTTGCAGGTCATAAGAAGAATACATTTGATCACGACATTCCGGCGAGATAATATCCGAGGGGTGCAAGCTGCGCGTGCGGGGGCGGATAACGGTTTTGACGATGGATCCTCTGATCCCGGGAAACGTCGAGCTAGCGACACAAAAGTCGGTGCACTGATAGAACTAGACACACGCTACAGGATGTTATGAAAATGCCTGCACTGTGGTGCCTGGGACATGAACTATGCACGTGCAGTTAATTCATATCTTACTGTAGGGAGAGCTCCACATGAATCTCACGTGCTTTCAAGCATTTCATGGATGTTTCAGTTGGTTTTGCAGTCCATACTCAGTTCCATTCCTCCAATTCTGGCCCAAGGCAACGCACGAGCGCTGCCGGCATCTAGTTACGGAGCGAGCGAAGCGAGCGGAGTCTCATACTGAATTAAGGGAAAAACCTGAGTATGAGCGGCCGGCCGGCCGGCCGTGGGGACGCTCTTCAAAAGCTAATATCTTAGGAACGGGACATCCGATTGACAAGCGGTCTTCTTTACTGAATGTCACTTGGGCGTAAAAGTTCTGTGGTGTGATGGCCACCATGCGTTCTTGCCAACCACCGCACGTGGCGCGTGGTAAAGTTGGACATTTTTTAAGAACCCCCAAAATTGCAACCTCAATAACGGCACAACGGTTGGGCCGATTGAATTGAAACTCGGTACACAGTTAGGTCTCCATCAGATAATTAATCTGCATGTGTTAAGGTTGGGGTGCTACAGCACGTGCGCACGTGCAGGGGGCGCTCCCAGATCTCGAGAACGGCTGGGCCGATTGCGCTCAAATTTGGTACACGATTGGGGACCAGTTAGTAGGGTGCCGTGCAAAAGTCAGTTTGGACCCCGCTTGCACGTGCGCACGTGCAGTGTGCCGCTTCCAGATCTCGAGAACGGCTAGGCCGATTGCGCTGAAATTTGGCACATCGCTAAAGACCGGTTAGTAGGGTGCAGTGCACAAGTTAGTTGGAGGTACTCCCTCGCAATTTCGCACCTGCAAGGCCCATCCTCTCGCTCGCTCCGTTGGTCGCCCAAAAGGCGTTTTACTGGTATTACAGCTGACATCAGCGACCAGATGACATCAGTCCATATCAGGCGTCAACTAGTGCTTCATTATTGGTTAATTCACATTAGTCACATCTCACAGACCATGTAACGAGCAAAAACTCGCCCCGGAAACGGCAGACGATAGTGAGATTGCTTCATCTTAATTAGCCGCGTCTAATTGCCGCTGCCGCTACTGCTCGCCGCTCCACCTGCTCCCCCTGCACGCCGCTCCATAGCGCAAAGAGTCACAAAAGATCGGGGACATCAGCCGCCGTGGACGTAAAGCCATGATGTGACGACATTCAGTGCAGGGTCAGCAGCCGACACGGCCAGCTAACCTCGATAAGACGGCATCCTTTTCATAGCCGCACAAAACAGCACCCTTCTAGGGCGCTGTCTTCTTCAAGTTCGCATTACAGATCCGGGCCGATCGCACAGCCTAGCACGAAACGGACCTTTCGGCAAAAGATCCGCTATCCCCTAGACGTTGCAGAGTGAATGTTCAGTTAACACATGCTCTGCAATATTATGGGAAGTAGTGTTGCTGCCCAGAGGTAATATCTAGCACATCATTTAGTCCGTACATACCTGGTCACCGACGCTGTAGGAGGCGCTGTGGTCTCCCAGGTACTGGAGCGAGTCAGCGCTGGCACTGGCCGACAGGTCGGTACTGCAGCCGCTCTCGGCGCCGTCCGAACGGTCCCCTGCGCCGCCCCTGGTGCCGGCCGAACGCGCACTCCTCGTCAGACGGGCGGACGGGGCCAGCGGCGGGCCGTAGTACTCGCTGGGGCCGAAATAGTGCACCTGTCGGCAGACACAGAGAGGAGTGACTAGAGCGGCACACATGGACAAATAGACACAAACAGACATACAGTGAGACAGTGAACGACGGCTTCCAGGGACTTCTGTGCAGTTGGCTTGGGTAGGGTTTCGCCACAACCGCAAAAGCAAGAATGGAGCGGATGTCAAGTGTCAACTGGCATTTATTAAAAGTACTGTTATGGGGATGTGGAAGGTTTCTGCCAGCCTAACACTGGTACATACCTATCTGTGTAACGAATATCGTGCAGCCCGTATGTGACCCGTGATGCCGTAAGTGAGTTGTTTCGTGGGGATGCTTCCTCGGCTCCCGCAATATCAAAACCCGTGCAGGGCTGAGCTTAGCTCAAAATGGGGACACTAATATGGTCGTAAGGGGCTCTAACAACGTCCCAAATTTTCCACAAGAGGTGATTTTTGTGAGAAATCTGGCCATTCGCGGCCTATCTCGGGCTTGCATGGGACGTAACAGCCTCTTACCACCAGCTGTGGCATTCCCCACGCTGCCTCCTAGTAATTCTCATGAAGCAGCGAACCAGAATTCTGCCGCTGATAGTGCACACAAAGTCGCATTATCCGCGATCGTGACGCGTCGCAGACCTTCCAGAGACGCAATCAACGCCCACCGACCTGTTTCTCGTCTCTGTGAGGGTGAGCTGTCAGGACCGTCCGACAACGACGGAGCAGACGGCCGGGCTCAGACCGTAAACTGATCTATGTAAATAGCATCTCGCCAAGGCCGTCTGGATTTAGCTAAGCTGCAGCGTAAAACAAATGAGCTTGCAACATCCAAAAGTCACGGAATAAACATTCACGGTATTCCAGTCTTTGGCTCACTGCAAAACAACTATACCGACTTTCTCGACCCAAATAGAACAAGCAAAACGACTTCCCTGAAAAAGCAGCATCAAAGGCATCATTCCAGCTCCAAATAACAAGGAAGGGGAAGGCGAAAGACGAAGGTCAGTTAGGCACCTTACGCGCAGTGCGTTTCTCACAAGAAGTCCGGCCAAATCGGCCGTGCATATTGAAAAAGCCTAGTTCGTTACATCGCCTCACTATTTCACCCTTTACTAGCCTGCGTCCAGACTCCATCTGTTTTCCATCCCCTCTCTCCCGCCCCAACCAGAGACAGAGCACCAGAACAGAGCCAGAGCGGCATGTAAGATAGGGGGAGAGAAGGAAGTGATGCGAAAACCGAGAAACCGAGACAGGTTCCAGATGGCGGCGCGGCAACTTCAGAAAGGGATACCAATAGCAGCCGGGTGGTCAACGACCGAGAAATTGGGAGACAGGCTCCGCCGGCATACGGTGCGTGACTGGTGAAGGGGTTGACTGGGCTGAGCTGGGCTGGGTTGGACTGGGCTGGGCTGGGCTGGACTGGGTTTGGCTGGACTGGGCTGGGCTGGGCTGGACTGGGCTGGCCGGCTCACTGACTGGGCAGCTAACAAGGTTGATTGGACTGGCTGATGTGTGCAATCGAAGCTGCGTCTAATGGGCACAGGTCTGCCTATCTGGTCGGTCGATGTCAGAGAGAGGTCCCGCTAATGGGCAGTGGTGTTGTGTGGTGTAATGCAAACCAGAAGCGAGCTAAGCGGGAGAGCTGGGCAATGTCAAATGTGCATGGTGTAAGCAAATCGCTGAGCTTACCTATACGAAATAAGCGGTTGAAAAAACGAAAGCGGTACGAAAAAAAAACAGCCAGTTGCTGGGTGAACATTATGCACCACGACATGAAAGCTCATAGGAAGGGACAATAGGTACTAGAGCCCCGGCTCCTAGTCCGTCGCACCTAAACACCGCCTCCCTCGGCCGCTTATCTCTCGTCACACCAACAGGCGTGACTATCAGCCCGGAAGCCACGAATATCCTGGACATCAGCTGGTAGAGGACAATGACGCAACACCTGCGGTGGCGCATCTCCTGTGTCACAGCAGCAACATCAGATCACCAGCGCCCCACGGCATCATACACGGTGTCAAGTCATCGGTATCTTCATGTCATCAATATTGACGGCCAAGCCCATCAGTGAACCGCAATAAAGATCTTCCATCTCTTATTTCGGAAGCTATATGAAGTCATGTTTGAATCACAGGAAGCTGGAGCAGACGAGAAGCCCGTATCGAGCTACTTGTGGCAGGAAGCTGAGACTTGATCAGTCATTCAGACAGACAAAAGAGGCTGAATCGTCTGATTCGTGGTACCCTGTCCCTGGCGCCCAGCTGTCCGGCCCATATAACAAATTCTAGTAAATATTACACAATACAGATGCTTAGAACTTCGGGATGCTAGCTTCCTGATGCTCTGACATCGTCGTGATGCGCGACTTCCATTATTATGAACCTCAGATCCCGTGTCTAGACACTGACACTCGGCCTTCCCAACTCCCAACCTCGCATCACCTCGCTTGCTCACCTCAATGGGTAGCTTCGCCGCTTCACCTCCTCACTGCACCACGCATACACCATTCACGCCACAGTCGGTCCGTACCTAACTATTCCCCACCTGGCGCCCGTCGCCCCGCCGCAGCCGACGGCACCCCGCCGGCCGCGCCCATCGGCCGGCCGCCACTGGCACGGGACAAAGACAGGCCAGCCGACTGCCCCGCTCGCGACTGCCGCCGTCGCCGTGTCTCCCAGACACAGCGAGAGGACCGCCGAGGTCGATATGGTCACGTGCGAGGCTCCCGACACCGGCGGAGGTGCTGGGTTATTGGTTTAGACGGAACGGTGGGACAACGGGTCACGCCCACCGGCGCCGGCAGAATATTGACGTACGGCACCCCATCTATGTCGGTGATGATTGTAAGGTTGGAGATGGATGCTGTCAGACATTGTTATCTTAGTCATGCCTTTGCCGTGCCCTCAGGGGATAAACAGAACCCTGTGAAGGTTCAGGAGACACGGGGGAGAGCCATGAAGTCATCGACATGCACTGAGAGAGCCGAGGGCCGCCGTCCCGCGCCGCTGGGCGTCCATGGGCCGTCACGAACAGAGCACGAGAGCGGCACGAGCCAGAGGACGTGAGCAGCACGAGCCAGAGGACGATTATGGCATGAGTCAGGGGAGGGACAAGTCACCAGACCGACAAGAGGCAGGCACAAGCCTGAGGACGAGACGGGGCACGAGTCTAGAAGGAAACCAGCACGAGCCAAGCTCAAGCTAGAGAACAGGCCGGGACGGCCAGCAGCCGGTGTAGAGCGGAGACACGACGGACCAGCCAGACGACTGAGCCGGCCGGCCGTCCTGCCTTCCGGTTGGCTGACCGGCCGGACAGGCTCGGAAGTGCGCCCGTCCGCGGTGGCCAAGGTCGTGCCGTCACCGCACCAGCCGCCGGGGACGCCGGTCAGGCGCGGGCGGGTGGTCTCATAATGGGCGCGGAGCCGAGACGTGCGGGTGTGTAATTATACGACGGACGTGTGCCGGTTCGATGCCGATTCGCCTGCATTGTATTGTATTACCTTCATGGACAATCCACGCGGGGCGTGGCGATTACAGTCCATCACAGGCATGTGCTTCATGGGGTCTTTGAAAGAGGACAGGGTCAGAACACGGACGCATTTCCAGGTAGGGGATGAGGGTGGGACGGGAGGCGCCACATTGTCGGCGCCTCAATAGCCGAGGGGGAGAGTTAAATGTGTAAAAACAGGAGCCAAAGACATCTGCTCGCTTCCCGGATGGTCCCATTCCGAGCGATCAAAACAGGAACCGGGAACAGCTGGTCGACATCGGTAAAGACCCACAGGGCTGGGGAGAGGGGACGAACGAAGGAAGGGGAGAGGGCACAATCGAAACCTCTCATACTCCAAAAGCAGGATGGGAGATGGGATCAGTTGTCACAATGACGCAGCCGACCACAGCCCGCACAACAGTCAATGATTGACAGCTCAGAGGCCAGGGGCGGACAGCCGGGCTCGATCTGTGACGTCACATAACCCCATTCACGCCCCCATATGACCTCAGCATGTGACAGAGACTGAGCTAGAATGACAGCTGACTGACAGGGCCTGACCACGACGGACACTGGCTATGACAGTTCCTGAGCACGAATGGCGTCTGACTGCGACAGGACAGGGGTGTGGGCTTAAAGTGACAATCACTGAATACACTGAATACACTGAACTGTCGGTAAGACTCAGACGCACGTTGTAGTGGCGTCACTGAGCGGGCCACCAGGAACACCAGATGAGCGCGGACGCGGCCGGACCGACACCGGCCGCCGGAGGAGCGGCGCGGTTTTTACCCCGATGACGACCGATTGGCGGCGCCCGGCTGGCAGAGGTCGCGTCAGGGTCAGGGACCGTCTATCGGTCCCGTGTCGCCGGGCGGTGTGACACGCACGGTCAAACACAGTCATCACCGCCCGACAGCACGGCAGAGACAGCCACACTGGCGGCACAGTCACCAACCAGATCTGCTCACAGTGCACAGCACACCGCCCCGTTGCACCGTCAGCCAGGGAGGCATTGGCGGACGGCGGGCGGCGCCGTGGGGTCGGACACCGCGCCATCGCGGCCGCAACAGGTCAGATGCAGACGACGGCCGGTTTGTTTGGGTCGCTGACAGATCCGGGAGGGGAGAGCCGACGATCCACACCCGGCCCGCACGGTCTGGCGGAGCTGGTGGAAAGGCAGAGTACAGCGAGGCAGATCACAGCGAGTCTAGGGAGCAGATTGGCCGCTCGTTGTGTCTCAATTAGCGCTAATAACGAAAATTGCTGCCCGGGGTAAGGCTAGAGGCGCATGGAAGATGAAACGGGTGCAAAAAGCGATCCTCCACAGCCGGAAGAGCCTCTCAAAATGAAGAACGTTCCAGTTTATTTGAAATATCCGAGCTATACCTACCATGGTTGCCCTATGCCCGACCCATACAACTGGCTGCTTATCTCTCCATCTGCCGATTACCTCGGCTGGTTGTTGGCCAGCATTCGCCGCACACCCAGTCCGGTCACCATTAGTCCCTCTGCCTCCCAGTCCCCGCACCGCT